TTTTACAGTTTTCTGGAAGTTTGTTCCAGATAAGTGGAGCATAGGAAAATGTGAAAAGTTAAACGACCCAATAAGAATAAATAACGGACTTAAAAAATCGATGACACCTATGGTTTATATAAATACATTGTCTGATCAGATGGTAATGTAAAACAATACAACAATAATATACAAGAAATAGAATAGTAAGATCAATTCTGCCGAATTAAATGACAGGAAAGGAGGAAATCAAAACACATTAAAGGTATTGTGGCGGATTTTCACACATTTTTTAAAAGACCAGCCCTCTCCACTTAAAAAAAAAATGCACATGCACAACCCTGAACCCGCTCCCGAGAGGGTACGCCTATTAAACGTGTGCGAGGCCATTTCTCCTCGTGCACGCTCTGCTTAAAAGTTGCTGTTCTCATAGCTCATACAAGCTTACTGTGCCTGAACCTCCAGCCTAACCCCTACATCCCTCAGCCACCATTCAGAACGGGGACTAGATAGCGGACTTTACAGGGAACTCAGTTAACTAACCGTTTGGACAGATTATCACTTATGCTCCCCAATGGTGACGTAACAGCTAAATCCCATAATGCTTTGCGAGGAGAGCTCTCCGTGCAATGCATCGTGGGATATATCTGCCTCTTCTGAGGCCTTTCTTTTCTTCTCATGCACTTCGTAGACATTTTTTCCTCTTACGACCCTCGGCCATTTTCAAAGAAATGCTAATGCTCAGAAAAAGGGGCGAGCACGTAGGACGGCCTTACGTAAACATATCACCAGAATGATTGACATTTAGGAGGACCACTTATTCAGATGATCCACGCGTAAATGAAAAATCATCCTCTATACCTTTAAACTTCAAGAACAAACCACATGTTGAATAAAAAACAAACTTAAACTGAAGAAGCTTGCAGGAGCTGGTGGTGCAGACCAGATAGCACTTGTTCAGGTGTTGTGAGACCTTGCGGCCATCTTTATCAGGGAAAAACTCTCAAGGATCATGGAAATTAAGACATGGAAAAACAGCTACAAGACTTAATGAGGATAAAAAGAAAATGAGAATTAAGGTTTTTGCTCGACATAAGCTAGCTGCTGATGGACCGGTATGCCACAAAACACACTTTTTTTCAAAGATGAAGTGATCTGTTCTGGTGCTGCATTCAAGTACAACAAAAAAGTTCTGTAATTAATTTTTTTTAAACCTGAGCTTAATATTATGGCCATTTGCTACAAAAATGTGTCTGTTTTGAAAGAAAAACTAGAGTTTCTGTTGCTCTCTACAAAGTCCAACAAAATGAGACCCAGCCACATTGGAAAAAAGATCTAGAAATAAGTAAAAAAATATCTTAAATTAAGTGTATTTCCGCTTAATTTGAGTAGGTAAATGAGATAGTTTGCGAATGGAATGAGTATTTTTACTCTGATAAATAAGATAATTAGATAATATGCACTTGAAATTAAACAATGCTATTCTGTTTTCTTATTCTAAGTGTAAAAGTGTGAAAAAATGACTCGTCTAGATTTGGATTTTTTCCAGTGCAAAGACTGAGGCATCCAAATTTGACTTAATTTTTCTAAAAGTTGCTCAAGTAAAAGAAGCTCATTGCGACCCACCTCCGTTTTCTTCCTTTCTATACTTACTTATCTTTTCTCAATGTCACTCAGTCCAACCAAATGTTCACTTTGATTAGAAAAAGTAAAAAAAAAAAGCATTTATTTCCTTGAAATTTTAAAATTTCGTTCGGTTTCAATCTTTTGTTCCCAAATAGAGTTTTGCTAAATTAAAAAATCAAATCAAAATAAACTATGTTCCTTTGATGCTTCACACCTATAAAAAACTGCATCTTTTTAGTAATAAGTTAAATCATGCAAATAGATATTCCGATCTGATTTAATCCATTTAGAAAGATTATCTGAAGGTTGGTTAATAGCCACAGTCTTTTCATTTTCTCTGGTAAAACGGTCTTGGAAGAAACTTTATGAAGTTTAAATTAATTCTACATTTCTATGAAGTTTATTCTTCATTTCATGTGTTTTTGTTTTGAAGTTCAGTAACAAAGTTGAGCTCAGGCCGTGAGAGAAGATCCCTGAAAAACAGCAGGTTATTTTTTATGACGACCCTCCTCGACCCACTTTAGCTCTCCTCGAGTCAGGCCGCAAAACCACATCCTGAAGCAGAGCCTTAAAATAAACAGGGCTCCTCCGTCTGCCTGTGCCACTCTTCACAAGTTCACACAAGACTTCAGCATGCTTTAACTAAAAAAACAATTTAAAAAAAGGAAAATAAAATGTGTGCATATG